CACTATGTAATAGTATTTAATATGGTTACAACTCTGGGATAAAAATATTTTTCAGTCTATTTGTCTTTGTTTTTATTATCCTGTACCGTCTGCCAAAAAGAACGTCCGGAATGAGATGAGTCTTTCAGAATGTTTTGAGCTTTCCTAAGACAGCGGGAACTGTACAGTTCGTCCAGGGGGGGGGGAGGAGAGGGTAGCCAATAATCCTCTTGGCGATGGTAATGACCTTCTGGAGTGCTTTCCTATCTGCTATTGTGCAGTTGGGAAACCATCCACAAATGCAATAGGTTAGAATGCTCTCTATGGAGTAACGGTAGAAGGTCACCAGCAGTTTTTCATTCAGTTGTTGTTTCCTGAGAAGTCTCAAGAAATATAATCTCTGCTGGGCCTTCTTAACCAATGCTTTAAAATGAGCACTCCAGGTCAGGTCCTCCTTTATGGTAACATCCAGAAACCTAAAGCTGGCCACCCGCTCCACATGGTCTCCACTGATGATCAGGGCTGAATGTCTTATTTATTCCTCCTATGATCTACTATAAGCTCCTTGGTCTTAGTAGTGTTGAGAACCAAATTATTGTCTCTGCACCACAAGAGCAACCGCTCCACCTCATCCTGGTAGGCAGACTCATTCCCCTTGGAGATAAGCCCCACCATTGTTGTATCATCCGCAAATTTAATAATAATATTGCTGGGATGAGTGGGGGTGCAGTCATAAGTATAGAGGGTTTAAAGTAGGGGGCTCAACACACAGCCCTGTGGGGAGCCAGTATTAAGAATAAGGGCTAAAGAGATATAGTTGCCCAATCTAACCCTCTGAGAGTGGTCAGACAGGAAGTCCATAATCCAAAGGCAGATTGAATGTGAAAGTCTGAGGTTGACAAGTTATGATCTTGAGTTAAGTCTTGGTAGTTTGTGGTCCATGGCCACAAAAGCAATTTAAAGGGAGTCTGCAGTGAAGAAAAGGTTGAGAATCACTGTGCCAAGGGCTCTCTTTTTCTGGTTTTATTGTTACCGGGCCAAGTATCTCAGCTGCTATGCATATTTATTTTGGCTAGATATTTTTATTTAGTTTTCTATTTTTTATTGTTTTAAAAGTTTTTATTGTTTTAATTTAATTTAATATTTTTTAATTGTAAGCTCTTCAGAGTTACTGATTGAGGGGGGCAGCTATAGAAATTGAATAAATGATGTTTCACCTAGCGACCACTTTGCTAAATGATCTAGTTGTCAGTCGCAATTGTGGTCACTAAATGAGGATTTTCTGTAGTCAAAATGTATAAGGAGGATTCTCGAATGCTAGCATTTTAAACCATGTACTTTTTCAGATTAGGTTTCTGTAATAAAATAGTTCCTGGTATCAAATTTTCAAGAAAAAAAAGTTATTTTATTTGGGTTTTTAAAAACAGTAGTCCTAAAGAGGTTCTTGTGATACCACATATTCTGCAAATAAATAGAAGAAACATTTCTCTGAATATGTAGAGAACAGCTGCTTTCTGTTTGTATAACATTTTTCAACACTTAAGAAAAAAACCCATATAACTCAAACCATAAACTTTCCAAACCTATTTTTATGGTCTCAGAATATCATACTACCAGCTAATTAAAGTGGGCATTTCTTTTAGTTTATTTACCCTATTAAAGTGGATCTATTAACTATCCAATCTGATTACTTTAAAGTTTCTAGTATATCTTAAGGTCACACTTGGATTAGATTCTTGTTCTGTGCTTAAATGTTCCGAACTTGAAACAAGAGAGACAGATAAGTTAACACAACTGAGATTTTTAGTAATATAATAGAGAGGAAAATGAGAATATTTTCTTTAACATATTTTCTCTCATTTAACGTGGGTAATGATTGGTATGAATAATACAATTCCTCAAAATCATCAATATATTTAGATCATGCCAATCAATCTAAATTCAGTTATGATGTTGCAAGTGTTTATATATTTCATTTAATTCATTTTCCCCATTTTTAAACAGATTAAGAAGAATCAGTATTATAACTGCACTTAATATTTTTAAATTTGTAATTCTATGTATAATTTTATATATTATATAATACATATTACATTTACTATTAGATTAAATATAAGTACCTTTACTTTTATTAAATACATACAATATACTGTGCATCCAAACTGCATGCCTTTTGTGTGTGCAGTGTCTTTATGACTGTGAGTTCAATCACCCGCTCCTTAGACCCATACTCCTAGCTTATTAAAAAGGCCCAGAGGAGTGTCATGAGTGGGTTCTACAATACTATATTCCATAAGTTTTGTTCATCTGATTCAGGTTGCCTGTGGCTTGGACAGAACAAAATGTAAACTGCTTTGCTTAGCCTGGGTGTGGCTGAAACAAAACCCAAACCCAAAACAGTGTCAGATATTCTGAGAAAAGGAAAAAGTAGGATTCAGAATAATCCTCTGCTACAAAGATCTAGATCAGTGGTGGTGAATCTATGGCACGCGTGCCAGAGGCAGCACTCGGAGCCCTCTCTGTGGGCATGTGCATCGTTGCCCCATCCCCGCCTCCCCCCATGGCCCCCTCTTCACCAGCAGCTCCCCCCCCGGAGGATTATCTCCCCCAGACATGGCCCGTGTGGAGCAGCGCAGTCAAGGACATGGCAGCCGGGTAGCAGGGACAAGACTCCACCCTTGTGCCCCATCGCGTGCAGATGATGTTGCGGGGTGTGAGCCGAGGGCGTGGCTGCCATGGCACTGCAAGGCCGCCTGGGTGATCTGCTGCGACGGGGCTTGGAGGCGGTGAGTGGCCCTGCAGGCGGGCAGGGCAGGGGCAGAGCACGGAGCAGGGGCGGGCTGGGGTGCGGGGCAGATTTTGGGCACTCGGTCTCTAAAAGGTTCGCCATCACTGATCTAGATGAACATTGGTAACTTTAATCCTTAACTGACTGTGCTTTTGGAGATGGAAGTGGTACAAGTTTTGTGTTTAAAGGGAATGTGAAAAGAGACAAATTATAATTTTTTTATCTCTCATAACAAAACATTTTGGCCAGTTACCTGTTCCAAGGCAGAAGGACCTGATGCTAAATAGTTCATAATTAATTAATACCAAAAGTGCACTTTCAAAATGTTTTTTAATAAACTTCTTCTAGGTCTATGCCAGCCCTAACCTTGTCTCCATTTACCCTAATACTAGATAGTCCTTGAGGTACGAACCTCATGGAGCCTGCCTATTAGGATCGTAAGTAAAAAAATTCGTCAAATGAATCAGACTCAATTTTACAGATTTTTAAAATTAAATTCATTAATTGAATCAAATGGGTCATTAAATGAACAAAAATCTGTCTTACTATTTCCTCCGATTGGTTAATTGATTGCTGCCATCATTAACTGAACTGAGAGGCTTTCCCGCCGGCCGCCCATCAGCTGTTTCTGATGCAGCCTTGGCTTAGGAATTAAATTGCCTCCAAGCAGGCTGGCATCCATTGCAGTTGCTTTTTTAAAAAAACGTTGCTAGTCAGCTCAAGTGTCTTCAGCTGCCCGGGGGGGGGGGATTGCAGTTGCTTAAAAAAAAACCACTTGCCACTAATTAGCTTAAGAGACTCCAGCCAGGCACCCAGAGGGAGATGGGGGAGGGATTTACAGAACTCTTGGCTTGCCACAATAATAGAGATGGAAGGGACCTTGAGGTCATCTAGTCTAACCCACTGCTCTCACAAGAGAGTATTTTTGATAAATGCCTATCCAGTCTCTTCTTAAAAGCTTCCAGTGATGGGGCACCCACAATTGGAGGCAATTTAAATTTAAAATCTACAAACTACAGTAATATATACTAATTTCCAAAATAAAAGCAAGGAAACACAATGTTATAGAATGCTTTGTGTAGATGCCGGCTAGCATTTCTCAAGCAGTTTCAAGGCAAATGTAAACAAACGTTATCTTTGCAAAGTATTGTACTTACAAACACAATAGTTTGCAAAGTACTGTACTTAAAAAGCACAGTGTTCCCAAATGCTTACAAACAAACAGTACAGTACTATAGAGGAGGGGTAGGCAACCCAAAACACTCAAAGAGCCATTTGGACCCGTTTCCCACCGAAAACAAAATGCTGGGAGCCGCAAAACCCTTTTGATATCTAAAATGAAGATAACACTGCATATATCCTTTTTTACCTTTAATATGTGTGCGTGCGTATGTGTGTGTGTATATACAGGGTTTTTTTTTTCTCATAGAACGCCCAGAACGGAGTTCCGGCACCTTTTTTGGATGGAACCTTGTAGGGTAGGCAAGGTGGGTTGTATGACGTGTGAGTTCCGACACCTTTATTTTATTTTATTTTTTACAAAAAAAGCACTGTATATGTAAAATAAAGGTAAAAAAGGATATATGCAATGTTATCTTCATTTTAGATGTCAAATGGGTCTCTCTCTCTCTCTCTCTCTTTGTCTCTTTCTTTCCTCTCTCTCTCTTCCCTCTCTCTTTCTCTCTCACTCTTTCCTCTCTCTCTTTCCTCTCCCCCTCTTTCTCTTTCTCTCCCTCTTTCTCTTTCCTCTCTCTCTTTCTCTTTCCTCTCTCTTTTTCTCTATCTCCTTCCTCTCCCTCTCTTTCTCTCCCTCTTTCCTCTCTCTCTTTCCTCTCTCTTTCTCTTTCCTCTTTCTTTCCTCTCTCTTTCTCTTTCCTCTCTCTCTCTCTCTATCCAGGTGAGGAGAGAGAGAGAGAGAATGAAAGGCAGACGGCGCTGACTCGTTATATAAAGGGCGAAACAAGCGGAGCAGAGGGCTGGCGGCTGCAGCCCAAGGGCCGCCGTGTGTGTCCGGGCCACGGGGGAAGAGCGAGAAGGTGGCTTCTTCAGTGCGGGCGGGTTAGCCGGGCTGAGGAGGACGCCCCTGAGGCGAGACAGGGTGGAGGAGGTGGACAACGGCGGCGGCAGCAATGGGGAAGGGGGCCCTAGCTCGCCTCAGCCTGCTCTTGTCCGGAGAGGGGTGTTCGGGGGCGCCCTGCCTTGGGATGTGTGTCCTACACGGGTGGTGCGGAACATGGCAAGCTCAACTAACACAAACCCCGTGCCTAAATTGTATAGGTCTGTGATTGAAGATGTCATTAATGATGTCTGAGAAGTCTTTCTTGATGCAAGTGTGGATGAGCAAGTCCTTGTGGAACTTAAAACACTATGGGAAAACAAATTACTGCAATTCAAAGCTGTTGATGGATTTCATTCAGAGGAACAGCAACTTTTACTGCAAGTACAGCAACAATAGCAGCAGCAGTAGTATTCCCATCATCATCACCACCCGCAGCCACAGCAAACAGTTCAGCAACAGTCCCAGCAAGTCCTTATTCCGGCAACACAGCAAACACCTCAGCCTCAAGTTATTATGCCAGATTCCAAACTGATACAGCACATGAATGCATCAACCATGAGTGCTGCTGCTACAGCAGCCACTTTGGCTTTGCCTGGTGGAGTTCAGCAGATACTCACAAGTTCAGGCCAACTCTTACAGGTGGTTAGAACTGCCAGCGGTGTTCAATATTTTATTCAGCCTAAGCAGCAAGTAGTTCTACAGCAGCAGGTTATACCACAAATGCAGCCTGGTGGAGTTCAGTCTCCTGTTATTCAACAAGTTTTGGCTCCAGTTCCTGGAGGGATCTCGCAACAGACAGGAGTGATTATTCAACCTCAGCAGATCTTATTTACAGGAAACAAAGCCCAAGTAATACCTACAACAGTGGCTGCACCTACACCAGCGCAAGCACAGATTTCTGCAGCTGGTTAGCAACAACTTCAGCAACAACCAGCACAACCACAGGCACCTTTAATGCTGCAAGTAGATGGAACGGGTGATATATCATCTGAAGATGAAGCAGAGAAGGAAGAATATGAGCCAGCACAATCACAGGCACTTTCAGTGCTGCAAGTGGATGGAGCAGGTGATACATCATCTGAAGAAGAGGAGGAGGAAGAGGAGGATTATGATGATGATGAAGAGGAAGACAAAGAAAAGGATGGAGGTGAAGATGGCCAGGTTGAGGAGGAACCTCTCAATAGTGAAGATGATGTTAGTGATGAAGAAGGACAGGAATTATTTGACACTGAGAATGTTGTAGTGTGCCGGTATGACAAGATACATAGAAGTAAGAATAAGTGGAAGTTTCACCTCAAAGATGGAATCATGAATCTTAATGGCAGAGATTATGTATTTTCCAAAGCCATTGGAGATGCAGAATGGTGAATACAGAAAATAAACTCAAAGCTAAGACAAGAAAAGTTGAGACTTGGACAGTACACTTCAACAGAAATCTCTCTCTGCAGACCATAAAGAAACAATAGAACTAAGGTTACCAGGACAGAAAAATAGCAAGGCAATGTTGACACTATTTCAAATGGAAAAATTGAGGCATTGGTGCAGCTAGCTCTGTCCAACAGCTGGTTTTATATGAATACCTTAATTAACCACTTCTACCTATAGATAAAGGTAACTAGCATATGATGCTTAATCTCCCCTTACACTGATTTGAAGGAACTCTTCTTTTTGGTAACAGTACTATGGAAAAGGCTTAGTGTGTGCTTGTGCATAAATTGTGCTGAAACGCTCCCCTGGGGAGTGGGATTGGTGAGAATATTGCTCAAAATTGTACGTGGGGATTTAGCCAATTGGTGAGGATTGAGGTGTTGAGTTCTAATTACTATTGAGTAAACTATTTTTAAATCTCTTGTACTGGGCCATGTATAATTTTATTGACAGTTTTAGGCCTCTTATATAAATTTTGATCCTGGTACCAAAATATCTCATTCGTATTTTAAATTTAATAATGCTGAACATTTTATTTAAAAGGAAAGCAATAAAAATCACCATCTCCCTTTGCTCTCTTAAATTATAATTTTTTAAAAAAAATGAAAGGCAGACGGCGCCGAAGGGGCGGGAAGGGGGAGCAGGACGGGAGGCAGCGGCTCCGGTGGTGGCACGGCGGTGGCCACTGCAGCATCATCAGGGGTCGCCGCCGGCACGGCTGCTGCCCCTGCCACATTCTCGGCCATTTTGCCATCGCAAGAGGAGGGCGCCAAGAGAACGCTGCTCTCCCTGCAACGGGGAGTGCTGCCGCAGGGACAAGGGGGGTCCCGACCCACCGCCAGCCTCGCAGACCAAGGTCTCCTTCTGCAACACCGAGGGCGGCGGCGGCTCCCCGAAAGCAGCCAAGGATGGGGCCAAGGTGGGCCTGGGTGGTGGAGAGCCCTGCAGCAGCGGGAGGACGGTGAAGGGGCATGGCTGCCAGTCCACTGCCGCTTCTCCAGCCTCGCCCAGTGTGACTAGCGGTGGCAGTCTCAGCGGGAGGATGGTGAAGGGGCACGGCTGCCCAGCCGCCGCCGCCGCCTCTCCGGCCTCGCCCAGCGCGAAGGGCAGTGGCGGCAGTGGGAGGATGGTCAAGAGGCACTGCATAGCAGGTGGGGAAAGGGCTGGGCAGGCGCCGCAGGGGAATCTCTCGAAAGAGGCCACGGAGATCCGCTGCCCGCGAGATGGCCGAAAGGCACGGGCGGAGAGAGGAAACTACAGAGACCCCCGGCAACCCCCCCGGACTAACAGGCGGTGGCGGAGCAGGGCGAGGGGAGACCCGCCGGGCAGGGAAGAGGCATCCCGAGAGTGGCCACCCGCAGCTACTTACCTTTCCAGCAATCCTCCCGGGTCTTCCTCCGCTGCTACCACGTGTAGTCCGAAGAAGGAAAGAGGTTTGTGGGCAGTCCCACAAACCAAAGAAGTTCAACCAATCAATTCAAACTTCCTGAGAAGTTTGAATTGATTGGTTGAACTTTTTTAGTCCCACTTTTTTTTTTCAGACTGCACATGGCTGAGGACAGGGAGCTGCAGGAGATGGCTGAAAGAGGCGCATGTGGCTCTGGAGCCGCGGGTTACCAACCCGTGCTATAGAGTAACAAAAAAGAATATTTTAAAATACTTACAGAAGCAATTCTAGCACTCTAGTCCTCAAGCCTTGGCAGCAACAGATCCTCCACGCACCACCAAAAAACCCCAAGAATTTGGTGCAGAAATCACCAGATCTTGTTTGGCCATGTGACCAGGGACAAAAAAAAACCCCTGCCAGCTTCAGGAAATTGCGTTTGTAACCCAAACAAGTCACAGAGTTAAAAATGGCCACCATTGCAGCAGTGACTGAATCTAAGTCACATGGCTACAGAGGCCTCTTTTTGGTCACAGTTTTGAATTTCTAACGTAAGTACCCTTTCTGAATAAATTCATTTTTGTGAAAATTCGCTAAATAAATGCTCGCACCTGGGGGATTATCTGTAATTTAAAAGTGGACTTGCAAATTTACCCTCTTTTCTTCACTGGCCACCAAAACCAAACAAGATTTGCTGCCATTCTGGAATAATTATTTTACAGTGTCAGTGCTCAGTAGCATTGATATCAAAAAATAATTTTTGAGTCAAGTGCATATATTGCTCAACGAAACAATCCTTTTTCTAACACTGAAAAAAATTGTAACAAATGAGGCAAACCAAAAGTTTAAGTGTGCCTTTGTAGGAGGAACAGGTTGATGTGTTAATAATGCAGTAAAAAATGAACATGCACATCATAAAATGAACAGATCAAGCAAAATACTCTTTTGGTTTTTCAAATGTAAAGCATTCTACCTGCTTTTCTTCGAAAGTTTTCAGAGTCCAGCTTCTTCACAAAAACCTTTACAAAAAAACAAACAAGCAGTTCAGCAGTATATTTGGGCAGTAGATGTTGGCATGATAAGTAGATAAAAACAACCCTCCTTTTTTCTGTCTAAGCCATATAATTTACTAGCCAAAGCATAACATACATCAGTGATGGCGAACCTTTTAGAGACCGAGTGCCCAAACTGCAACCCAAAACCCACTTATGCATCGTCGGGTGCCGGGTGGGTGTGGCCCATTGGGTGGGCATGGCTGCAGTGGTAACAGCAGACTGGGTGGGACTAAAAAGTTCAATCAATCAATTCCAACTTTGCAAGATCTTTTTTTCCCTGGAGAAGTTGAAATTGAGTGATTGATTGAAGCTTTTTTTTTTTGCACATGGCGGCGGAGGCCTAAAGCGAAAAGGTTTTATAAAACCTAGGTGAAGGCCTAGCACTGGGGCGACTGCACGCGTGCCCACAGAGAGGGCTCTGAGTGCCGCCTCTGGCACCCGTGCCATAGGTTCGCCACCACTGACATACATGCTTCATGCTTCATGTATGATTGCATATGGCCTTGCAGCCAGTGTATCAGAGTAAATGGTCATAGTGGTGGAGCTAAAGGAGAGTAGAGAACGTGAGAAGATGTTGAATGAATTCCACTACAACTCCAAGCTTGCAAAGTCTAAATAAATCCACATGGAGTCTCCTGCAATGTGAGCCTCCCTCAGGGGTTGTTGCTCAGAAATTTGAAACAACCATGTGAACTATATGGAGTTTCTTCCATTGTGATCCTCAATTGTCCAATGTTTTAGTTGTACTAGTATGTAGTTGCTCCAGTATGATGATGTGCTGCCAAAGCTCTGCTGCCCTTAGAGCCCTGTTCCTGGAGTTCACCCAAAGATCTCTCTTTGAAAAGCTTCAAGGCAAGTAAAGCAGAAAATAATAAAGATCACTTAAGAGTTTTGTTAGGAATAATGGTCAAAGGGCAGAAACAGATTTTTTTTAATTTGTAGGATAAAGAAGATATAGTGATGAATCCATAGCCATTTTACACAACTATCCAAACAGCTTGAGTAGTTTTATTTATTTCATCAGAGGAAGTAGAATTTTCCTAAATATGAATGTGATATTTGCACTATATTGTATATTAAATATTATTTAGTTTCTGTTATGTATTTTTTCATTTTTCTAAAAAGCTTTGTGTGTGTATGCATGCATGCCTTTGATTCAGTGTTGACTCTGGCAGCTGCCAGGACTGCAGTTTTCTTGGCAAGATTTCTGAAGTTTGCCAATGTCTTCTTCCTAGTACCAAGAGAGAATGATTGGCCTAAGGTCATTCAGCTAGTTTCATGAATAAAGCTGAATTAGAACTCATCGTCTTCCAGTTTCTAGTTTGATGCTTTAACTACTGGGTTTTTGCAAGCTTTAGCTGTCTATTTCACTGCCTGGAGAGGGCAGTTTAGCCTTTAAGTTGTAATTGGGCTCTGTAGGCAGTCAGACAGCCAACTAAAGCTTGTAAAGACCCAACACCCTATATTTTCTTGCACAAGTTTCTACAGAACAGTAGTCGACTCACTTTTGGAGATGAAGGGGTTTTTTTTCCAGTTCAAGGGAAAAAGCTGCAAAAAGATGTTCTTTCTTTGCTTCCATTCCTCTACTCTTCAGCCTGGACTCAAGGTAAGGTTTTTGACAGTGATAGAAATTGGAAAGCAGAGATTCAGAATTTAGTTTTAGCACCTAATTGGAGGGTTGGGAGAGATCAACAAGTACATCCCTCCCAGCTTTGTTGTTTATTGAAGAAATGTGGCTTTCTGGGGGAGGGAAGGAGGGAGGGAGAGGGCTAAGAAGGAAAATTTTGTGGAAGCTTGTCCTGAAGCTACCACCTTTTATGCAAGAGCCAGCTTCCTGAAGCCTAGCCAGAGGCAAGAGAGATGGTCAGATGATCGGTGATCAGCTGATTGGAAGAGAAAGCTCTGAAAGCAACCACATTTCTGCCTGAAAATGGCTGCTGCTTCCCAGAGGCATGGGAAAGGCCCGAGTGCTGCAGGTCTCATTGAAGTAGGATAGGGGAAGAGAGGCAGGGGAACGCTGCAGCATCCCTATGGTCTGTCATAAGCCACAGGGCCAGTTCAGTTGTCATAACTTCGAAATAGAGTCATATGTAGTTTTGGGGATGTCAGTCTTAACTTTGAACTGTCGTTAAATGGCCTGCTATTTCTTCAGGACTACCTGTATTTACCACATGTATGGTCCAGATGTCCTTCATAATATAGTTGCAGTTATGATTTTCCAGTCATTATGGTAATAATAATAATGATGATGATGATGATGATGATGATGATGATGATGATAAAGTTGGAAGGGACCTTGGAGGTCATCTAGTCCAACCTCCTGCTCAGGCAGGAAACCCTATACCATTTCGGACAAATGGCTGTCCAGTTTCTTCTTAAAAACTTCCAGTGTTGGCGCATTCACCGCTTCTGGAGGCAGGTTGTTCCACTGGTTAATTGTTCTAACTGTCAGGAAGTTTNTTAATGCAGCCTAGCACTGTGTTGGCTTTTTTGGCAGCTGCAGCACACTGCTGGCTCATATTTAAATG